ACCCCTTTCATAAAATCTTAGAAAATATCCTTCTCTATAAAGTAAAACATTAAAAAAAAAAAAAAAAAAAAAGATTCAAATAAACATTAGAGATTTGTGGTTTTATTATGATTCTAATAGGATGGGGTTTCATAACAATGAATAATGTATCTGAAAAATGCACAGCAGTACCTAGCATGTAAAAAACTCATATCCAAAGAGAAATTACAGCAAAAGAGACTGAAGTTTTAATACTTTCTCTAGTATTTAAGCATTATCCCATCAATTCTGAAACTGTTACCAAGCCCGTGCAAATTAGCACCAGTTACAGATAAGCATGACCAAACAAATTCATAACATTTCTGCTTTTGTTTGATGCAACCTCGATTGATTTTATATAAATCACATTTTGTTTTTATGGAAAAGGATATAAATTAACTGTTATTGCTACATTTTTCTACTTTGGAAAAAATTATTAAAATTTCAGAACTGCCTGCTGCAAAATAGCATGCAATGAAATATTTCCAAACTTAATGGATTCTTTAAAAAAGAAAAAAAAAAAAAAGTATGTATTTATGATTGAACACAGTTTTGTGTATCCTTTAATGGGTAATTATTTCACAAAATACACTCATTTAACTACATGCTACTTTCATTATATATACAAAATATATCATCACTCGCATACACACTTATATCTACAGCTCTCCATAATTACAGCTACTCGCATTCCAGTCCTTTTCTAATTACTGCACGCACTTCGATGCTTGGCCATCTTAAAGTCCGATTATGATATACACATCGATAGTTCTCGATATACCACATCCCTCTCCCTTTATCAAAATTGCAGTCTATCTGGGGAACATCGAATTCTACTGAACCGAGGCAAAGGTTGTGGCACAGCTGGTTTCTTTGGTAACCTGGTTGTATCAGCAACAGCTCCGGTGGATGGAACATCTCATACAACCTTGGACTCGGAGGATGACAGAGACACATCAGCCTGGTGGCTATTATCTTTGGATGGTTCTGGAACTCTACTCTTATCAGGCTCTTTGGAAATCACAAAAGCTGGAGGTGGAGGTATGAACCTCTCATCTGTTACAGTTCCTCCATCACACATCTGATTGATATGTCATTGCCATAGCTGACCATCTACATTTATGGTGTAATGAAGCTGCCCATCGTTGGATTAGACTGCTCCAAATCTCCATCGTCTATCACCTTGGCAATAATTTCTTACTGCCACTCTATCTCCTACTTTAAATCCTCGGTCTGCAAACTTGTAGGTTCCTTTTTGAACTCTGTCTTCCACCCTCCTTTTGAGATCTAGTCTCAATAAATCTATTCTTGTTCGAATTTCCCTCTTCAGCATTAGCATTGCAGGGCTCTGCAGAGTAGTCAAATTCAGAGCTTTCCTATATTGCATCAAAAATGTACTCATGTACTGTTTAAAAATTTTAAAAATGTACTGTTTTGTCTCAAAGTTCCTGAATAATTTTGCATTTTTCTTAAAGATTGTTTTACTGTAAACACACTCCGTTCAACCTGCCTATTACTAGATGGTTTAAATGATGCTGTAGTTTTGTGTTTGATTCCGTTACTCTTAGAAATGTCTTAAACTGATGTGAAGTGAATTGTGGCCCGTTATCACTCACTAACAATATTAGCAATCCGAATAGTGCAAAAAAAAAAAAAAAAAAAAAAGTCCCATAAACATTCTATCGCTTTGAAAGTCAAGCTTGATTTCATTGGATAGGTTTCTCGCCATTTTGAGTGAGCATCAATGATTATCAAAAGCATATGCCCAAAAATAGGTCCTGCATAATCGATGTGATAACGTTCCATTGGAGCGCTCGGGTACTCCCAATGATGAGCTTTTACCTTAGGAGGATCTATTTTATGTTTTGCACATTTAGAACAGTTTTTGGAAGTATTTTCGATATCTTTAATCTATACCATTCCAAAATACATATGATCTAGCAATTGCTTTCATCTTTACAGTCCCTAAGTGTCCGTGGTGCAACTCTTTCAAAACATTAACAAGGTATCGTTTTGGAATACAAACGCGTTGACCATACGTTATACAGCCATCTTGGAGACTATACTCCATCTCTCTTCCTTTTAATTCCCTGCCACTTTGAAGTATTTGCAGCAGAGAACTGAGTTCTGCATCAATTTCAGTTTCTTTAGCCAAAGCTCTGGCCATGATTGGAAGAGTTTCAATCTGCTGTAATAGAAAAATAGTTACATTCTGAACAGACAGTTGGTCTGAGTTCATCGGTAATCGTGATAGAAAGTCAGCATTTCCATGCTCGTTTGTTTTTTTGGTAAATAATATCAAATTGGAATGACTGTAAAGCAAAAGCATAATGCAAGAGTCTTGTTGCTGGCAAAACTGGCATGTCTTTCTTTGAGCCGAAAATTGCAACAAGAGGTTTATGATCTGTAATTAATGTAAATTTTCTGCCTTTTAAGTACAGAAAATTTTTTTTTTATTCCCCAAATGATTGATAAAGCTTCTTTATCGGTTTGAGAATATTTTTTCTCCGTTTCAGTCAGTGTTCTTGAAGCATATGCAATTGGCCTTTCTGTTCCATCAAGAAGCACCGCACCTAACCCCACGGGTGATGCAACAGTTGCCAATGTTGTCAGGACTTGTGTTTCACTTGATTTGCTTTGGCAACATGGAATGCCGTGAATAAGGACAGGGAGCTTACTCAAGCTATGTTCAAGATTTGTGTATAATAGACGACACAAGCAGGAAGGGTATACAAAACCCTTTATTTTCAATATTTTACAGGCACTTCTGAACTTTGGAATACAGAGACCAACCACTTGTGGTCTGAACATAAGAATATAAAACTACTATCTAAAACTCTAACTAAAAGCTAACTTTGAATTAGTATACAAATGCCTAGCACTAAGACTGGCCTTTATTTAAAAAAGGTACGTATGTAGTATGCCGAGCTGCTGAAACTACAATACATTTGCAAATATCAAGGAGGGCTAAACCTCTCCTCTAAAAGCCTAGTCACCCTAGGCTTTAAAAAAAGGGGAGTATATAAGGTATTTCTCCCACTTTCCTAGCATCCTTCGTGGTGTAGTGGTTCTGCACGCTGGGCCGGTATTCCAGAGGTCCGTGGTTCGATTCAGTTTTTCTCCATCATATGTTTTAAATACCATACTTGTATTTTTAATTTTCTTTTTCGAAATTTTCCGGAAATTTTTAAAACTTATTACCGATACTGCACCCCTGTATCCAGTTCCATTGCTACCAGTTTTCCTTCTATGTTTACTTGAACCATTATGGGGGTTTCCTATTTTTCACGTCACTGGAATGTATGCTGTTTATAAGAACTGTGTTTTCATTTCCTACATTTAACTGTTTTTGTTTCGCTTTCATTTTTCAGCGTTTTTAGCATTGTAGCATGCCCTTTCAATGTGCCCACTTTTCTTACAAAATCTGCAGATACTTGTCTTAAATTTACAAGAATTTCTTAATCTTAAATTTTTAAGAAGAAAAGAATTTAAAGAGAAAAATAAATTGTCTTAAATTTACAAGAAGGTCAGTTCACATCGCCTTTAGCACTTTTAGCTGCAGAGTTTTGTTTTTCAAACTTTTGTTTTGGAACGACCAACATATTTACCTTTATTCCTGGCACTAAATTCCTTAATTTCCACTGGTTTTCCAATTATTTCATTTGCACTTTTCAAAGCTTTTTTCATTGCCAAACCTATTTTTAAAGTATCATCTAAACTGATATTATCCTGCTCAAAAATTATATCCAGAATAGCCCTACCTCTAAGCCCACTAACAAATACATTCTGCAACATCGTATTTAACATGTTCTGATCATAAGCACGGTATGGCAAGTGACCTTAAGTCTGCCATATACATACTAATTGTTTCCCCCTCGTGCTGCTTTTGATTTAAAAATACATGTCTGCTAGGAATTATAAGTGGCTTAGGATTTAAATGATTTCTTAATGTTGTTTTTAACACATCATAATTTTTATTGGAAGGATTATCAAGAGCCAGCAAGTTGTTTAAGAAACTATACATTTTTTCGGACAAACTGGAAATCAGTACTTTCCTAAGCTTATCCTGTGAAACTTTTTTTATATCTAAATAACTTTCAAATCTTTCCAGAAACGAATTAAACTGTTCTTCATGTTCATTATATTTTTCAAACTGAACCGAAAGTTTCAAATTGTCCATCTGTGGAGTAATAATTGCAGTAAGTCTCCATTAGAGCTCTATTCTGTGCTATTAACTCAGTTACAAGCTGCTCCATGATGAGTCTTCCGAGAAAAAGATATAAAAGTTTACCTGAGCCAGGGGGGAATCTCCTAATCCTTAGGATTGCATAGGCACATTCTTTAAATCATCCCATCCTCGTCCCAGGTGTGTGTCCTTTAGTGGGTAGTATCACAAAATACACTCATTTAAATACATGCTACGTTCTTATAGAACAAAATATATCATCACGCATACACACTTATATCTACAGCTCTCCATAATTACAGCTACTCGCATTCCAGTCTCCAGTCCTTTTCTAATTACTGCGCGCGCTTTGATGCTTGGCGCGGTGCCAGCTTAAAGTCAGATTATGATATACACAATGATAGTTCTCGATATACCACACACAGTATGGTCGGCTGAACATAGCTGACAAAATAGTTATATAGTGAAGAAATTACCTATCGAAAGTCTGTACTCATATCATTTTAAACAGAGCTTCTAGTAAATTTAATGACCAAACGAAATAGTAGAAATAGAAGAAGAAAGCCTTTTTAAGAAATGCAAAAATAAAGTTGGTCGAAGGCTGATATTGTTTAGTAAGTACAGATGTATCAGTTCCTAAGAATTCAGCAGAAATGAATGGTCCAAATTTGGTGAGATCTCTGCCAACTTTATGGATCAGATAATACTTAAGTACCCTTTTTCTTATTATGGAAAATTTAAAAAAAAGGGGAGGCATTTAATATGTCATATTATATAACACAAAAAATTAAAATACCTCAATTAACTGTCCAGATGAATCATATATTTCTTCTGTAAAACACAAGCCCATATTGTCTATATCATTTTCCAAAATATACTTCACTTTATTCACAAAAAGTTCAGGATCATCATGTTCAAAATACTGGAAAAAAAAAAGTACTGCTACAAAAGAGCCAATTAAAAAGTCATATAATTTATATTTTCAATTTATGTTAAATGTACATACTATATAAAATACAGCATGATATACACATTAAAAAATTATACTTCCATTTTTTTACCTGTTTACCTGTTTTTTTTTTTTTTTTTACCTTACCTGTTTTTATGAGGTCACTGGCTTCTTTAACCAAATACAGTCAAAAGTCGTTAATTCGGACACCTTAACCGATTCAAAGCTAAAA